GCCACTGGCATGAAAAAATGAAGCTGCTCATGATGATCATTTTCATGACTTTTAATGACTTTATAGAGTTAAGATGATGGCAAACTTTCATTGAGTTTTATAGACTTTTATGTATTTTTTTTCTTTCTTACCCTTCTTTTGAAAGAAGGAATATTGAAAATTGTATAGAATTCTAAAATGATGGAATTCAGATCTCTTTCATTTTAAGTTATGGCAATTAATAATTTCAGTGTTCGGATTTATGTATATCAAATTTTGCAAATGAAATTTCAGGGAATGACAAATTCATTCACTCAATAGAAATTCTGAAATGATGTCTCTTTTGATTGAAATTAAATTCGGAAATTTTGAATGCTTAACTTTAGTGCTAAATTAGCCAAACAATGGAAATATCAAATTTTACTATTCAATTCCAAACTTTCAGTTAAATAATTAATGTAGGGTAATAAGAGTATGTAGTATGACCAAAAGAAAACGAATTCTAATATTATCTTTTAATCATGATGAATTAACTCATGAGATCTATATAGCCAAAGTAATTATTCATGTAGAGATGGATGAATATCAATTATGAATTCGTTGGGTTTGAGACTTTTTCATCTCTGAATTCTAAAGGTCTCATTCTGGGCCTGGGTGCCTTAGGGCTTTTTGAAATATCCACTAATTGACCAAACACATTAAAATACACTCAAGTCAAGAAACAATACTCTAGAAATCAGAAATACATGAGAACCAAACTAACACAAAAATACAGAATGTGAGTGAACTTGGAGTCACTATCAAGTAGAAAAATTTATATAGAGCTGGTGTATGCATTATTTTCCTCGTAATAAGTGTTCACATAACTAAGCACGTGAAAGAATGTAGCGTGCATCAAAGAGCATGCATTATTTTTTTGGTAATAAGTAGTCACATAACTAAGCACGTGAAAGAATATAGCGTGCATGATGATGTATAAAACTCGTTACACGTAAGATTTTTTGCGGTTAAAGAAACAATGCACACTTGTCCAGAAACTGAAGGATAATATCACTTTTAACTCATGTGGAGGATAACCCAACAAGTTTATTAGCATTTATTCATAAGATGTTTTGGCCTTTCAATCAAATAACAATATCTTGCGGATTATGGAACAGTCTTGTGAATTGTAATTAATTGATAATATAATCCAATATTACAAGAATTCCGTAATGCTGAAAAAGTAATTTCCATTCACAAAACTCTCTAAGACACCCTCAGAATAGCAACTTTTAAGACTCAACTTCCTGGTCAAAAGGCTCACCCTAAGTTGTAGGGCGACACGTGTCATGGTCCAAAACCATGACTATGATGTAATGTGTGCATGGCATCACACATGTCGAGCATTCAGCTAGTTTAAAATCGTATATAAACCATACCAATTGTGAGATATTCATCATCAGCAAATCAAATTTGAGTTATAACAACTTCATCTGAATTTCAAGTGTTTTCAAAACAAAGCAAGAAGAAAATGGCTGACAACTCTCAAAAGATGAGCTACCACGCTGGAGAGGCCAAGGGCCAAGCTCAGGTAATTAGCTCACCTGTAAATTGTAATTCTCCATTTGTTTTTGTTTCTTTCTTCTATTTTCTTTTAGATTGATGTGGGATGTTTTGTATTGGATCATGTTGGGTTTAACAGGAGAAGGCCAGTGGGATGATGGATAAGGCTAACAATGCAGCCCAATCTACCAAGGAGACAATGCAAGATGTTGGTGAGAATGTGCAGGCGAAGGCTCAGGGAGCTGCTGATGCAGTCAAGAATGCCACTGGCATGAACAAATGAAGCTGCTCATGATGATCATTTTCATGACTTTTAATGACTTTATAGAGTTAAGATGATGGCAAACTTTCATTGAGTTTTATAGAATTTTATGTTTTTTTTTTCCTTTCTTACCCTTCTTTTGAAAGAAGGAATATTGAAAATTGCATAAAATTCTAAAATGATGGAATTTAGATCTCCTTCATTATAAGTTATGGCAATTAATAATTTCAGTGTTCGGATTTATGTATATCAAATTTGCAAATGAAATTTCAGGGAATAGCGAATTCCTTCACTCAATAGAAATTCTGAAATGATGTTTCTTTTGATTGAAATTAAACTCGGAAATCTTGAGTGCTTAACTTTCGTGCTAAAGTAGCCAAACAATGGAAATATCAAATTCTACTGTTCAATTCCTAACTTTTAGCTAAATAATTAACATAGGAGTAATAGTAGTCTGTAGTATGACCAAAAGAAAATGAATTCTAATATTATCTTTTAATCATGATGAATTAACTCATGAGATCTATATAACCAAAGTAATTATTCATGTAGGGATTGATGAATATCAATTATGAATTCATTGGGTTTGAGACTTTTTCATCTCTGATTTCTAAAGCTCTCATTCTGGATCTGGGTGCCTTAGGGCTTTTTGAAATATCCACCATTTGACCAAACACATTAAAATACACTCAAGTCAAGAAACAAGACTCCAAAAATCAGAAATATAAGAGAACCAAACTAACACAAAAATACAGAATGTGAATGAACTTGGGGTAACTATCAAGTGGAAAATTTTATATAAAGCTGGTGTATGCATTATTTTCCTCGTAATAAGTGTTCACATAACTAGGCACGTGAAAGAATGTAGCGTGCATGAAAGAGCTGGTGTATGCATCATTTTTCTCATAATAAGTGGTCACATAACTAAGTACGTGAAAGAATATAGCGTGCATGATGATGTATAAAACTCGTTACACGTAAGATTTTTTGCGGTTAAAGATAAAATGCACACTTGTCCCGAAACTGAAGGACAATATCGCTTTTAACTCATGTGGAGGATAACCCAACAAGTTTGTTAGCATTTACTCATAGATGTTCTGGTAAGATGTTCTGGCCTTTCAATCAAATAACAATATCTTGTGGATTATGGAACAGTCTTGTGAATTGTAATTAATTGATAATATAATCCGATATTACAAAAATTCCATAATGCTGAAAAAAGTAATTTCAATTCACAAAACTCTCTAATAAACTTTTAAGACCCAACAGCCTTCCTAGTCAAAAGGCTCACCCTAAGTTATAGGGCGATATGTGTGGTCCAAAACCATGACTATGATGTAATGTGTGCATGGCATCACACATGTCAAGCATTCAGCTGGTTTAAAATCGTATATAAACCATACCCAATTGTGAGATATTCATCATCAGCAAATCAAATTTGAGTTATAACAACTTCATCTGAATTTCAAGTGTTTTCAAAACAAAGCAAGAAGAAAATGGCTGACAACTCTCAGAAGATGAGCTACCACGCTGGAGAGGCCAAGGGCCAAGCTCAGGTAATTAGCTCACCTGTAAATTGTAATTCTCCATTTGTTTTTGCTTCTTTCTTCTATTTTCTTTTAGATTGATGTGGGATGTTTTGTATTGGATCATTTTGGATTTAACAGGAGAAGGCCAGTGGGATGATGGATAAGGCTAACAATGCAGCCCAATCTACCAAGGAGACAATGCAAGATGTTGGTAGAATGTGCAGGCGAAGGCTCAAGGAGCTGCTGATGCAGTCAAGAATGCCACTGGAATGAACAAATGAAGCTGCTCATGATGATCATTTTCATGACTTTTAATGACTTTATAGAGTTAAGATGATGGCAAACTTTCATTGAGTTTTATAGAGTTTTATGTTTTTTTTTTCTTTCTTACCCTTCTTTTGAAAGAAGAAATATTGAAAATTGCATAGAATTCTAAAATGATGGAATTTAGATCTCCTTCATTTTAAGTTATGGCAATTAATAATTTCAGTGTTCGGATTTATGTATATCAAATTTTGCAAATGAAATTTCAAGGAATAACGAATTCCTTCACTCAATTGAAATTCTAAAATGATGTCTCTTTTGATTGAAATTAAATTCGAAAATTTTGAGTGCTTAACTTTGGTGCTAAAGTAGCCAAACAATGGAAATATCAAATTCTACTATTCAATTCCTAACTTTTAGTTAAATAATTAATGTAGGGTAATAACAGTATGTAGTATGACCAAAAGAAAACGAATTCTAATATTATCTTTTAATCATGATGAATTAACTCATGAGATCTATATAACCAAAGTAATTATTCATGTAGAGATTGATGACTATCAATTATGAATTCGTTGGGTTATTTGAGACTTTTTCATCTCTGATTTCTACAGGTCTCATTCTGGGCCTTGGTGCCTCAGAGATTTTTGAAATATCCACAAGTTGACCAAACACATTAAAATACACTCAAGTCAAGAAACAAGACTCCAAAAATCAGAAATACAAGAGAACCAAACATACACAAAAATACAAAATGGAATGAACTTGGGGTACTATCAAGTGGAAAAATTATATAAATCTGGTGTATGCATTATTTTCCTCGTAATAAGTGTTCACATAACTAAGCACATGAAAGAATGTAGCATGCATGAAAGAGCTGGTGTATGCATTATTTTTCTCGTAATAAGTGGTCACATAACTAAGCACGTGAAATAATATAGCATGCATGATGATGTATAAAACTTGTTGCACGTAATATTTTTGCGGTTAAAGATAAAATTCACACTTGTCCAGAAACAAGAGATAATATCGCTTTTAAATCATGTGGAGGATAACCCAACCAGTTTATTAGCATTTACTCATAAGATGTTCTAGCCTTTCAATCAAATAACAATATCTTGTGGATTATGGAACAGTTAATTGCAATTAATGGATAATATAATCCAATATTACAAGAATTCCATATTGCTGAAAAAGGTAATTTCCATTCACAAAATTGTCTAAGAAACCCTCAAAATCGCAACTTTTAAGACACAACAACCTTCCTAGTCAAAAGGCTCACCCTAAGTTATAGGGTGACACGTGTTATGGTCCAAAACCATGACCAGGATGAAAGTGTGCATGTTATCACACATGTCGAGCATTCAGCTAGTCTAAAATCGTATATAAACCATACCCAATTGTGAGATATTCATCACCAGCAAACCAAATTTGAGTTATAAAAACATCATTTGAATTTCAAGTGTTTTCAAGAAAACAAAGCAAGAAGAAAATGGCTGACAACTCTCAGAAAATGAGCTACCACGCTGGTGAGGCCAAGGGCCAAGCTCAGGTAATTAGCTCATCTATAATTCTCCATTTGTTTTTGCTTCTTTCTTCTACTTTCTTTTAAATATTACATTATTATATGTGAATGTGCATTGAGATTGATGTGGGGTTTTTTGTATTGGATAATTTTGGATTTAACAGGAGAAGGCCAGTGGGATGATGGATAAGGCTAACAATGCAGCCCAATCTACCAAGGAGACAATGCAAGATGCTGGTCAGAATATGCAGGCGAAGGCTCAAGGAGCTGCTGATGCAGTCAAGAATGCCACTGGCATGAACAAATGAAGCTGCTCATGATGATCAATTTCATGACATTTAATGACTTTATAGAGTTAAGATAATGACAAACTTTGTTTGAGTTTTATAGACTTTGATGTAATTTTTTTTTTCTTTCTTACTCTTCTTTTGAATGAATGAACTAAAAATTGCATAAAATTATAAAATGATGGAATTTAGATCTCCATCATTTTCATTTAGTGGTAATTAATAATTTCAATGTTCGGATTTATGTATGTCAAATTTTGTAAATGACATTCAGGGAAAAATGAATTCTAATATTATCTTTTGATCACGAAGAATTAACTCATGAGATCTATATAACCAAAATAATTATTCATGTAGAGATTGATGAATATCAATTACGACTCTTGAGATTGAGGCCCAATTCGTTGGGTTTGAGACTTTTTCATCTTTGATTTCTTAAGGCATCTTTTTGGGCTTAGGTGCCTTAGTGCTTTTTGAAATATCCACAAGTTTACTAAACACATTAATGGCATGTTTACTAATCTGTAATTAGATTAGGAGGAATTGAATTGAGGATAAATTGAATTGAGGAGGAGTTTGATTGTGGAGAATTAGATTCTGGATTCCTATTGAAGTTCTTTACTAAACCATATGGATTGAGGAGAATTGAATTTCGGATTTCTATTGAAGTTGTTTACTAAACCATATGGAATTGGGGTAACAGTGATCCAAATTACTAAAATGACTCCATTGTTTGGTTAAAGTAGATGACAAATTTTAAAATTTTAAAATTGTGTGAGGATATAATGGGTAACAAAGATGAATTCCTAATAGATTAGTTCCTCATGAATTAGAATACCACTTCCCACCCAAGAATAGAATTTCTCCAAAATCAGGAATTCAATTTCTAATTTTATGTGGGTCCCACTTACTTTTTAATTCCTTGATGTGAAGTAAACACATGAATTCTCCATGGGTGAAATTCAATTCCTTATAAGAATTCCAATTCCTGATTAGTAAACACACCATAAAATGCACTCAGGTCAAGAAACAGAACTCCGGAAATCAGAGATACAAGAGAACCAAACCAACCAAAAAAAAAAAAAAAAAAAAAACATGAATGAACTTGGCGTAACTATCAAGTAGAAAAATTTATAGAGCTAGTGTATGCACTATTTTCCTCGTAATAAGTATTCACATAACTAAGCACGTGAAAGAATGTAACGTGCATGAAAGAGCTAGTGTATGTATTATTTTTCTCATATTAAGTGGTCACATAACTAAGCACGTGAAAGAATATAGCGTGCATGATGATGTATAAAACTTGTTACAAGTAAGATTTTTTGCGGTTAAAAATAAAACGCACACTTGTCTAGAAACTCAGAAACAATATCGCTTTTAACTCAGTGGTGGAGGATAACCCAACAAGTTTATTAGCATTTACTCATAAGATGTTCTGGCCTTTCTATCAAATAACAATATCTTGTGAGTCTTGAATTGTAATTAATTGATAATGTATTTTTAGGCCTAGTAATGAAGGAAATATAATCCAATATTATAAGAATTCCATAATGCTGAAAAATGTAATTCCATATTCAAAACTGTCAAAACCCTCAGAATAGCAACTGCCGATGAAGATAAGACTCAACAGCCTTGTCCTGGTCCAAAAGGCTCATCCCAAGTTATAAGGCGACGCGTGTTGTGGTCCAAAGCCATGAAATGTGTGAATGGCTTCCGCGTGGCATCACACGTGTCGAGCATTCAGCTGGTTAAAAATTCTATATAAACCCTACCCATATGTGAAATATTCATCATCAGCAAATCAAATTCGAGTTATAAAAACTACATCTGAATTTCAAGTGGTTTAAAAAATGGCTAGCAACTCTGAGAAGGTGAGCTACCACGTTGGTGAGGCCAAGGGCCAAGCTGAGGTAATTTTCTTCACCTATTATTCTCCATTTGTTCCTGCATTTTTTGGTTGTTGAATATTACATAATTTATATGCGAATGGGCATTGAGATTGATGTAATTTTGGATTTAACAGGAGAAGGCGAGTGGGGTGATGGGTATGGCAAACAATGCAGCCCAATCTACCAAGGAAACAGTGCAAGCGGCAGGCCAGAATGTGCAGGCCGCGGCTGTAGGAGCTGTTGATGCAGTCAAGAATGCCACTGGCATGAACAAAAAATGAAGCTAGCTGCTCATCATGATCTCAATATGAGCATTTGCAGTTTTTTTTTTTTTTTTTTTTTTTTTTGGGGTTTTTTTTTTAGTTGCTTTCGATTTCTGTCTTCTAAACAAGGGAGCTCTATGTCCTCTTGAGTTCTCATCATCTGGGTGTGTACTTTCGTTCACACTTGGTTTCTGTTTTTGTTTTCTTTTTCTTTTTGTTCATGTTTATCTCCTTTGAACAAGGATAGTGGGCTCTGCCTATTGTAGTTCTCACCTAATTGAATCAGAAGCTGTTTTTAATCCCATCTATATGTTCAAGATTGGTCTTTTGTTTATGCAGATGAGCAAAATCCGACCTAAGAGTTTCTGAAAATTAAAAACATAAAAAAGAAGAAGATATAAATTAATTAAGCAAGTGCGACAACTCATAATTAAGAGAAGCTACTTTTGCATGGTAGAATTTTATTGACAATGCAGGATGAAAATAAGTAAAAAAATTAAGCTATATCCAAAGAATTAGGCGAGCATTCCTACACATAAGGGCGTAGTGGTTATCGGATTACCTAGATAGCCTTCATTCTCAACCTTCTCTAGTAGGACTACTTAGGTAGCCTACCTTCTCAACCTTCTCAATTGCAAACGAAAAATAAAAAAACTTGCCACCGTTAGAGTGGCCCCATCTCTCTAAAGAAACTACTTAACTATAGAACAATATCGTGACTATGTGGAGCTAAGTAGCTTTCCCACATCAAAGAAATTTCTGTGACCTTCTTCTGTGAAATTGAAGTGCCATAATTTGTTGAAAATTAAAGCACTTTTGTCGAGAAATATCTAGAAAAATCTAGATAAGATCACCGACCTAGCTAAAGTCTACATATGCCAGAAGTGTCATATGAAATATCCAAGATGGTATTAGATGATAATACGATAAAAACTAGTGGAGACCACAAAGTTGTGGTTAGGAATGTAGCAGCAGCTCGGCTGAAATGTGTGGTTAGGATTAGGAACAAAACAAGCCCAAGTAGGTGGAGCTTGAGCATGTCGGCTGCTGTCATCTGTAAATGAATTTGGTATGTTTATTTTAAAATAAATTAATCCATAATTACATTAAATTACCTTTATTAGTGGGAGTTAAATTTCCATTAATATGACTCAACTGCTTTATGCTGGTTTTAAGTCCATTAACGTCTTTCTTGGTGGTATATTATGTATATATATTATTAGCTATAGCTTGAAAAAGAAAAGAGATAGAAAAGCTACAGCCTTCTTCCTCTTCATCCCTATGAAATTCTCTCTTTCTTTTACTTTATGTATTGAGATTTCTAAGCAACAGTCAGAAAGGTGTTTGTTACCTTTTCTATACTATTTACACAAATTGGCGTAGAGTCGGGAAACGTCTTAAAGAGAGCAATGTAGTACGCAATCGTTCCAAGCTACATATTGTATTTTTCATAATATTGTTCTCTTATTTTAATTTGTGCATCAACAATTTTAAGACGTTTTTATTTGCCATGGATGTTAATAATAAGGCTTATAGATTCTATGACTTAAAGAACCATGTTGTAATTGAATCTAATGATACTGTTTAAAATAAATAAAAAAAGATAAATTCTCATTTAAATTAACAAATTGTGGGGACTCAAGTTCTATTAATACATCTTTCCCATAAATAATGAACCTAGAGGTATAGAACATTTTTAACCAACTTGGAACCATGGAAGCCTAAGAAAGAACGAATTGCCAAGGATTTGGACCTAATTTTCATGTTTATACCTTAGAGCAGGATCCCACCACTCTCCAATCAATTTTTTTTTTTTTTGTTCAGATTTATTTCGTTAATTTTTTTTTAATCTTTCATATTATTTACTTATGGTTTTACAAGATTTTATTGTTTTGTAGTTTTCGCTAATATGCTGCTCTGGTGCTTCCATTACAATCACATCTGTACATGTACAATCATACAATATTTCAGTGAGTTTGAATTAGCATGTGCCTTCTTTATGTTGTCGGCCACCTATATTGGATACACATTCATATAGAAAAAGTCACCTATATTGTCTAACTCCCTGTCGCCAGTTTTACATCACTCAATAAAAATCTTGTGCACAGTGAGATCTCGGAGATATGGTACCTACCAAGATTTAGATTCAACTACACAAAAAATCATTTCCATTACCCTATTTTCCATCAATATTTTCTCAACCCAAGAATTCCAACCATCACTAGTAATGTATGAATATGTCAACATTAATCAAATAATTAACAACACGTAAACATCCAATATCAAGAACATTATAATATCAAGCTATGATGTAGTATTCACGAAATTTAATTAAATCAATCCCTGTAAAGGCCCCCAAGAAACTCCTACCTTGATTCCAAAGCTAGCTCAAAGTTTAAGAAAACACAAGTTAGGCCCTATATCTCCTCCAAGAATTCATCACCTCTCTCTCTCTCTCTTTTTCTCTCTTTTACTTCCTCTCTCATTTCTTTCTTGTTTCTAACTCTTATTTCAATTCTAGAAGGCCCTATTTATACTAGCATAAGTCGGCAACAACAAAGATCTCATTGGATAATTGTTTGGCGGCTAAGGAAGGAGATATGCATGGAAACTATTTTATATAATATAAACTAATATTAATCCTATCACAAAAGTAGATAAAGTAATTAGAAGATTGACACATCAACCCTAAGAGATAAATGATAATGGCATTCACTATACCGGGATATAAGATATGGCCGTAACGTGCTTGCTTTTGAACTTCACCCTAGTAGGGCTAAGGGCTGTGTGTTGTTGTTAGAGAAAGAGTTCAGAACTATATGTTACTCTTGTGTATTCTGGAGTTCTGTCACTAAGTAGAGGTTCAAGTTGAAAGACACCTTTACTTATACACAATCTTATGATATGTTGCTCAATGAACTTATTTTTAAAATAAATAAGTGGGGATTGTTGAATATGGTATGTTTATTTTAAAATAAATTAATCAATAATTACATTAAATTACCTTTATTAGTGGGAGTG